ATCGCCACGGCGTCGGCGCTGGGGAAGGCGCAGAAGAGGCCGCAGTGGGGGTCGCGGGTGTGGAGGTCGCTGAGGACGCCGTCCGCGCAGCTGAAGTAAATCGCCTCAAAGGAGGGGGCGGGGGGGCCTTTTGGCGACGGCGTGGATGGGCCGGCAACCCCCTCGTCGGGGCTGAGATGGAGCTCGCAGGTCGCAGCGGGGACGGCGCGGCCGGGGGCGTGGAGGGTCAGACGCACGCAGCGGCCCCGTCCGGGGTCGGGGTGGTTCAACCGGAGATTCCCCTCCGCCGGGATCGGCCGGGCGGGGCCGTCGTCCAGGGAGGCGTGGACGTCGTAGCCCGCGCAGGAGACCGCGGTGATCCGCGAGGAGTTCGACGCCGCGGAGAAGCGCAGCACCGGCGGAGGGCGTAAAAGACGATCCCGCGCGAACTCGAGGACGCGCACGGCGGCCGCGGACGACGACGGAGAGAGAGGCGGGGACGCCACGGTCGAGAGCGACGCCTGCGGGAGAAGTCGGCGTGCGTCGTCAAGGTTGGGGGCGTGGATTGCCTCGGAAAGCGCTTCCAACCACGGCAAATTGTGTAGAACGGGGGGTAAGGGAATAGAAGGAGCCGGGGGTGGTTCTTGTACGGGTTGTTTAGGAGAGATGGTCGACCTCACAGTGGAAATGCCTCTTTCGAGGAAGGTCTGCTCAACTTGAAGAAGAGGAGGGGCATGAGTGAGCGGCACCTCCACCGTTTTACTCCCCGTTTCGCCACTTGGGATGAGAGTCCTGCCGCTACTTGCTTCCTCTAACTTTATGGGGACAGGGTTGACTTCGTGAAAAGGGATATGGCATCGCTGACGGAGAACCACCTGCCCATCCGCATTTCGTAAATTGACCTTAACAGTTTGCACCGATCGCTTAGAAAGGGTAATTTCTGCGGTATTGGGCGAGGAAACCACCGCGCCAGATTCATCCACAAGCTCAATCAGATAGTTTAGCGCGATGGCGGTGAAAACGGGCCCGCGATCTGTCCAATAAACGTTGGTTTCCAGATCAATTGGCTGGATAACCGCAGAAGGGGAGGGTGGAGGGGGGTTAACAACCGCATTCGAAGCCTCCTCGCCGGAAACGGGTAAAGAATAGGAGGTCAAAAAGTTCGATAAAGGTGGAGAGGGGGCACTGGGGACGGTGTACATTAAAGGCGGTTTAACAGAACCTGTCAACTCAGACAGCGGTGATTCGAGTGGAGGAATGTTTTGCGCATAGGGGTAAAGGTCACTTCCTGTGTAAAGCGGTTCCTTCGTGAGGCTTTCGGGGCTGATTGGAGATGCCATCAAAGGAGCAGAAAAAGAGGGCGGCACCTCCCCGGGATACCCTTTGAAAGATGCCGGCTGGACCATGACGAGCCTAACATCCGAGGCGGAGAGTGGAATATGAAAGAACCCCCCGACAGGGCTCAAGACTTCTCCATCCACCACCACGCTCACGGTGGTTTGAGGGGTTGTTTGCCCCCCCGAACGGGTGGAATTCGGGTTCATCGCTTCCGGGGCGCGCAGCGCGAAGAAGCCCGTCGCCGGATCCCCCCGCAGGGTCAAATGGCAGACCTGCCGGGTTGGGCCGCCCTCGACGGTGGTGGTGAGGTGGTAGGCGCGGCCGTCCCCGGGGACCTCGAGGGCGGCGGGGGGAGAGTCGCCGGGGAATAAATCCACCACGCGTGGGGCCCCGTTTTCGATGGCGAGTTCGCAGCGCATCGCGAGGCCCTTCGCCGCGCGGACGCCCTCCAATCGGAGGTTCGTCCCGCTGATTTTGACCGCCAGGGAGGTCGTCAGGGGCTTAGGGGGGGGGCCGCCGTGGCCGTGGTTGAGCCCCGGCTCGAGGCGGTGGGGGCCGCGGAAGGGGTAGGCGGCGTCGTTCATCTTCCCCCCCACCAGGAGGAGATTCCTCGAGCGCGGCATGGGAAAAAGGGGGAAACCCACAAAAGGAAAAAAATAGAAAAATTTTTATAAATGAAGAGTGGGGGATGGTGCGGTGGGGAAAATCCAATGCGGGAGTAGGAAGCAGAAGTCTGTCTAAGATGTTTATTGGGCCAGTGTTGTCTAACAATAATAATCAATGTAAAAGGTTGTGTTGTGATGTTTCTTCGATGAACTCGTTAAGTAACGATGTATTAGACTACAATGATAGAATATCCAAGAGAAAACAAAAAATGAAAGAAAATTATTGGAAAGTAGGCGCTTTTGATAGGTGGGCACTCTATTGGAGTGTTTTTTGCTTTAGGGTTTTAATTCAGATAATTTATGTCCGAAAAAATATGAAAAAAATAAGATGCGCGAGATAATCCTCGAAGAAATATTCCATCAGTCATTTTCGGTGATCACAATCAATTCCAACAAACGGAATTTAAGCACCACTCCCCTAACTTACTAAGATAGAAAAGAGCGATTACTGACATTAGCTAAATTATTGGAATTGGCCAGAGTTATCAAATCCAGATCTTCATGATTAATAGCTGGAATCTTTTTTTTCCCCTTTACAGACCACGGGAGGCTTTGATTTCGTTCACTACTTCCTGAATCCTGTCAACGGTGGCGGCGAGCTGATCGAGGGTATCGTTTATCACGATCATTATAATCTCATCGCGGTACGATTGTCGGGCCTCCTCCTCACAAACGCACTGAATCTCCGCCTCCATATTTTCCGCCCGCTTCGCTTCAGAATACCCGCGCGCAGTCAGACGATCGAAAAGCACCTCCGTCGAGGCGTGCAAAACCACCACGAGGTGGAACCATCGCTCGGGAAAAAGATCGCTGCTGTGATAATCCACCACGTGATGGCCCTCTTCCACCATCACCGGCTCCAAAAAATCCAAAAGGCGATCCTCGTTGTCCTCGCTGATAAGATGCGTATCGAGCTCGGCATCATAAACGGTGTAAAAGTGATTTTCCTTCACGATTTTTCCAACTTCGATGTGTTCAAACCCATCCAGATCCTGAGCGAGAGTCTCCGCCAAGGAAGTCTTCCCCGTTCCAGGGGTTCCAGTGATGAGGATATTAATTCCTTTCGGTTGGTTCATCGGTTGTGGTAAGTTCGCTTAAAAAAAAAAACTAAATACTCAAAAAAATATGTCAGGAAAATTAAGAAATCACGAAAACACACAACAAATGCATTTACTTGGCATCTATGCAGGGAATATAAAATAATTGACTGAAAGCGTGTAGGATATTGAAAGGAATAATGTCACCCTTCTTATACTTTGACCTACGCAATTTCACAATCTAATTATAAAATGGAACACTAGTGTCAAACCAGATGCCTTCTTTTTTTTGTCTTTCAAAGGAAATAATCCCGTCAATCACCTCAGGTTGATAACATTCTCCGATTAGAACCTATTTTGAAAAGCCAGATGAAACTCGCCAGGCTTCTAATTCAGCCCGCTCGCGGCGTTGTTGGTCCTTCCGGAAGTGTTCGAATTCTCGAGCAATATCGGTTTCTTTTGCGCTTTCTTCGCTTAATGGGGCGCCACGATGAGCTTCCCACATCATTAACGATAATCCTTTCAGCTTATTGATCTTTCGTGCCGCTTGACGATGGGAAGAAAGCTGCTGATGGGCGGCTAAAAATTTCTTCGGAATCGCTTGATGGCAGAGCGCACACCATTGTTGATCAGCCGGCAGCAGCTCCGCCGCCAGCTGCGAAGGGCGAAGCTGCCGGCCAATGTAATTTTTAAATTTCATCTACTGCACAAAAATGCAATCGCTATGATTAGATGATAGAGAAAACATATTACTATTTATTAACAAATTTAAAAAATGATAAAAAAATAATTCAATATGGATCATGGACATTAGTAGTGAGAATGCAATAAATAACGTCCCTACTAGGAAACAAGAGTAGAAGGGAAGGAAGGAACTACCCTAAGGTGTTGTTAATCATAATGATAAAAAGACGGAAAACTTCTCCGCCGGAATGTCCCTCCATTACTTCTTACGAGAAAGCCATGCTCCTTTACGAGTTCTCCTCTTCCGGTGGATTTTTGCCGGTGATCGAGTCGTCGAAGCCGTACAAATAATCCGGTATGGGTTGCTGGGTGACCACGATGGCGGGCGCCGGATTGGGCTCGAGAGGACTGTGGAAGAGCCCTGCGTTTGGCGTGAGATCGATAGGCTGAGAGGGCTCTGGGGTTGAGGTTTTGGAGAGCGCCATGGAGTAGGAAACCTCTACTTGGGATTGGGAGGGAGAAACCCTCCCCATTGGAAAGAAAAACCCCGAGGAACCCAACGAAAAGGACGACAAAGAAGGCGGAAGATCCTCAGGCTTGAAGGAAATCGGCGAGGGTGTCATCACCGTGGTGGTCGGGCAAGAGGATGGCATTGAGATAGAACGCGGGGTCGTGTGAAGAGTCGAATCCCCAACAATATTATTGGCCATCGAATCCTTTGTAGGTTCATCCATGTTTCTATTAGGGTTGGGTGCGCGGACGCCAAAAGATGGAGGGGTGTAGCTGCAATTCGCCACCTTGTAAGGCGGGGGGGTGCCATGCACTTCAACATCCCCACTTCGAGACCGTTTTCGACCTCCAAGGCGGTGTAGTGCCTGCGTCGGGGCCTCTTCGTTTTTTTCCGAAAATTCATCCGGAAGAAGTTCCTCTTCATCATTAGCCGCCAGAAAAGGGGGAGGGGATGATTCCGAGCTCCTGGAAGTCGAAATACACACGGTCGGATACGTCGTTTCCGCATTGGACAAGTTGGCAAACTCGTGGGATGGATTGCACGCGATACCTTCAGAGGGGGTCTCGCTATCCACCTGGTTTAAGGTGGTCGAATCGTGGTAGAACAAAGGGGAAGGCAAGCCGTCGGCCGTATTTAAAGTTTCGTTGTGGTATCCCACCGCCCCGTCGGATTCCGCACAGTCGCTGTTGTTTTCTTCCGAAGAAAACTCCGAGTTGGAGGGCGTCAACTCCTGAACACGCTTTATCATCGACCTAAAGTCATTTGTCAACATAGATTCCTCGAAAAGATGAGTTGACGATGACAAGGAAGAGGAAACAAGAGACTTTTCGCTGTTTTCTTCGTCAAAAGAAGTTAGTTCCTCATCCCATGTAGTATGCGTTTCGGAAGCTGAGGAGCTTCCCGTTAACCTTGTATGCGATATTATTCCCGCACTGCTCTCATAGGTTAATGCCGTAATCGGGGCGGAGATGCAGGTATGAATTGCCGACCACGCCTTATTAGCATCCCCCTCTCCGTCAGGAATATAGCCACCATAAAATGACTCCTGGAGAGGGATCTGAGAAGGTCCATCGGGTATTAAACGTTGAGTTTGCATATTTGAGGGTGAGAGTGGTAAAACTTCACCTTTTTCATTGGAAGAGGTGCTACGTATGAAACCCGATTTGCCATTTTCATTTTTTGTGGTGAGGATATTTGCATTCATTGAAGAGATAAACGGATCGACTACCATTGTTGATGCCGTTGTGCTGTCAACCACCCGAAGCGTTTTCACCACTGCCGCGATATCTTCTACCTTTTCGCAGGGTAAAACGCACGCATTTGCTTCACCATTATCAAGAATAGGCATCAAAACAAAGGAAGACAAGTTCATACCGAGGAGCTCCATACGTCGAACAATAACCTCTGCCAGCGTTGCTGTCCGATGAGGGCCGCCACCAACGCGAAATCGCAGCTTACCCACCTCCACATTTAAATAAGGGGGAATAGTCGAAGTATTAATATTAGTGCTAGTACTAATGTTATTATTATTATTGATCATGCTATCAGAAAATAAAGGAGAATTAGATTCACCCTCTCCTTCTTTTTCGTTCGGTGATTCATTTCCGTGGTCTAGATAAAAAAAGCAGCGTAGACAGCGATCCCTCTCTAATACCTCTTTTTCAAGCTCCCCACCCTTGATAATCCTAGTTGGAAGTTCACGCGAAGGGTCCTTCGGCTCGTCCATACTATCAGTATTGCCATTATTATTACAAACAGTAGTATGAGCACTAATACTGTTACAAGATGAAGAAGCGGAATCCTCGGTCGCCACCATTCCCACACGAAACAGCTCCCTCACACGCACGCGCGGCGATTGTGAAGAGGCTTGGTA